GGATCGAACCACAGCAACCTGAGCCTGACTGCTTTGTTGAAGCAGCCACTTAAAGAACTGAGCTAAGGGGCAGGCCCCCCTGAGTTTGCAAAGGTAGCTAAAATAATGTTTCTCTAAAACTTATATAGTTTTTGCTATTGCCTTTAGAACCAGTGAAAGGCACAGGCCAAAATTACAGCTCAGCAAAAGATGAAGAATCTGGGTTAGAGAAATCAGAACAACAGAAACCACTCAACAGTCAGCTTTTTGAACCTTCTTCACAGACTTCAGGTAAGTTAGGAAAACAAAATGGGCACTTTGAAGCAGCTTAACCAGGGAATGATGGGGTAGCGATGGCACATCTCCTCCCTTCCTCCTTGATTATGTGATGTTGATCAGCAGTATAGTTTATGATGTCACTTTTGTCGCTTCAACAGATTTCAGTTTGTTTTAAGGCAGAAAGTCAGCTTGTTAAGAATTTTTAAGTTACCACTTTATCAGGTCAAGAGACCATTTTGATCCAGTTCAGCTTGTTACTGTTCTCGCTAGTCATTGGCTTGTTACTTAGTATATATCACTTTACTCAGCAAGTAGCAGCTGAATAAATTGGTCAGCTGTTCCATAAACTCTTACATGTATTCTATGGCTCAGTAGCACCCTACAGGTCAGAACTATATAGAGAGTAATGCAGGCTCCTGCTGTCTATCTGGACCTTGCCATGTATAATTCTCCTTTTAACAAGATCCCCAGATAATTGATATGTGAAATTTGAGGGGTTCAGTGCTAAGACACTTTGCAGTTTAGTTTCATTGTTCACTGATCTTTAAGATGATATGTTTTTGATGATAAGCTAGAAACTTAGGAATATGGTTATCAGCTTTTTCCTTTCTGTGAATGATTGGAACATGAGTTCCCTGGGGACCATGGTCATGATTTATTTCACTTCAAATTGGTAGTAGTTTAAATTCTGTCTAGTACCTAGTAGGAGCTAAATAAATGAGTTCTTTAGTGTTGTCTTAGGAGCTGAACATACCAGTCTAAAATTCTATTCAGTGTTTGCTAATTATATACAACTTTTTGTTGTTCATGTTTGTTTTTTTGTTTTTTGCTAGTTCAGGCTGCCTTAAAGTGGGGTCTGGTGCTGCATATGGAGCTGGGGATCAAACCACGGTCCCCTGCGCCTGACTGAGTTTGCCCAAGCAAGCGCTTTAAACAACTGAGCTAACCGGCAAGCCCCTCTATACAAAATAGATCATATCATGGCAAATAGATGTTTAAGTCCTAGTCCTTCCCTTTGAGTTACTATTATATTATAACTTGGATGAAATGAGGAGCTCCCAGGAATGAACTCTGAAAACACAGATGTACATAATAATGGAAGAATATAAAATAAGAGATGGTACCAAGTAGCTACTGATTAATCATAAATTAAATGGTATAAGTACTTGGAGAGTACTACAGCCTTTATTTTTGAGGGGAGCTATAATTAACCTGAGATATTAAGTTTATGTAGAGTAGGACTTAGAAGACATTGGGAAAAAAAAAAAAAAAAAAAAAAAA